TAGCTAAAGCGTTCAGCTACCCCTCTGAACTCCATCTTATCGGACGGAGACACCTCCTCCAGGCACCAGACACATATACCTATAGCCCCCCCCCCCAACCACCCCCCCCTAACCAAAACTTCTGGATCCGCCCCTGCCAATGATAACTTGATATTTATGAAGTTAGCTTCAGTTTGTTTGATGGCGTGTTATTTCCCCCCTGGAATACAAGTAAATTCTATTTTTGCTGAAATCATTGAAGCCGTGATATTGAGACCATCTGGCATTCCGACTGTAATTGCGGGGGACTTTATTTGTAGGATGGATAGTGGGAACCGAGGACGGTAGTTACAACAATATTGTAGAGAATACATTTGAACGCAACTTCCAAGTATCTGTCAAACCGTCACTTGAAGCAAAGCACCAACACCTGGATGTGGAGTTTGTGGACACGGTTGATAGTTTTAGGAAGCGGGTGAAAGCGATACCCAAAGTGGATAGATCAATTTTAACCGACTGAATACGGTATCTCCAGAAACGGTTCTTAACATCCTTGAAAGCGAAAACGACCCGACAAGGAACGCCACAGAAGCTGTTAACTATAATATATGCGAGGCTGTTAGAAGGTCCCACATTGTAAAACGTGCGAGATCTAAACCCTGTCCGTAATTCGTACCGTAATTACAGTCACGATCCTGCTCCACACTTAGCAAAGCAACACGCAGACTTCGTACGTAAATTCCAATGTTTAAAACGCCAAAAGAAAGTGGAATTCGATGAGAAAGTGATTAAGGATCAGGTCGCAAAGGCAGAAGCAAGTGTTGAAAACTTTTTGGGATTGTGGAAATCGCAAAACACAGGAGCTGCAGGTCTCCAGGTGCCTCCTGATATTTGGTTTGACCACTTTTCGAGAATACTTAAGTCTAACTCGCCTTCTGAATTTCCGGACTCTTCTCAAGAACTGTGAGGACATATTAGTTTTACCATTACAGTACATAATTAACTATGGTTTCTTTGATGGGTGCTACCCTGCCCCCTGGCTGTGTAGCTATCTACTCCAGATTTATAAAGGTAAAGGTTCTCTTACAGTCCCAGACTCTTATAGAGTTGTTGCTTTACTTTTATTTGCCCTCAAATGGTATACATATATTTTAAATAGAATGATTTTGTCTTGGGCCTAGGACAATGATCTATTCTTATACACATCGCTTCAACAGCGGCAGATCGACCGGCAGTGCAGTCGAGGTGCTCCATACCTTACTGTAATTCACGAGGCCCTCGTTACCCCAAGATCACCATTATGTAGCCTTTCTTGATTTTAGGAGGGCCTTTGACTGCATTGACCGGTCAATTCTTCTGCGAAAGCTATCTGACATGGGGATATCTAACAAAATGCTAAGAGCAGTTTGGTCTATTATCTCCATCAACTACATGGAGATCATGTCCAATGGTTCATTAAGTGAAAAGGTATACCACAGACTAAAGGCCTTACACAAGGTGACTACCTCTCGCCCCTCTTATACATCCTTTTACATCTGATTTGCCATCATGGATTGAGGCCGAGGTTTCTGCACAACTTTGTTGTACTAATGAGTGGCATGAGTTGCAATCTGCACTCAATAGGCTTTTTAATTACTGTAAAGAAAATGTATACCTTCTGCCACATACGGCGTCTCCTCGCTCACCAATAATCTAACTACGGAGGATTTCGACTTTCTAACGACAGTTCAATTTCGCTTGCTCAAATTTTGGCAGGGTATTAAGTTCGCCTCATCCTCCCATATTCTAGAAGCCTCCGGAAGGCTTGCCGCTGGGCCATTGCTAAAGGCACATTTCTGTGATGGAGCCCCTCTAGCTTCTATTACTTCAGTTCGATGTCGTCTTTCTTCAGTGGAGCTGACTGGGCCTCACAGGAAGGTATGGGGGAGATGGTTAGGCACAGCCTTCCACTCGCTTTGGTGTTGTAAGCGTAGATGCTTCCATCTCACTTGCGACTGCAGGTGCAGATTATACGGCTCTGGGGCGAACCTTCAGTGTGAACACCTATCACACTGTGAGTGGGTTGTGGGGGACTTTTGTTTCCTTCGACGCTTCTGCCCTCCTGAAGCTGGAGAGAGCGTTAATTGCTACCCGGCCTTTAGATTTAAAAAAAAAAAAAAAAAAAAATTGATGATTGTGCGCGGCTCGCAAAAGTGAACTGGGAAAAAAGCAGAGCGGATTGAATGAAATGTGCTTGTGGCTCGCAAAAGTAAATTAGAAAAACAATAAATAAAATTAAATAATCTGAAGAGAATGAACAATCAGTTTTGTGCCGTGGGCATCCTTCCTTTGTCATCAGGTAAAGTGTAAAGTGTTTGTTACCGTTTTAGCTCTTTTCTTCCCGCACTATTCTGTGTTGAAGGTATTCATTATTGAATAAAAAGTTAAACAACAATACGCCTATATTGATAGAAATCTACATTTTTATTAATGCATGCAAAGTATATTCTCTAGAAAGCATTGTTTATTGTCAATTTCATTATCAACAAATGATTTTTTGAGTGATATCTGAAACATAGGCCAGTTCATCGGATATTAAAATTGTCGAATCGGCAAACTTCCAACCAAAACAAACTGGAAAAGAAAACAGCATTTGATTTTCTGGAATTGTACACGTAGCTAGGCATACGATCAAGAAATGCTGCCTTTATTGTAGTCCTGAAACTGGCAAATATATTTTCACTTCCAATAAGTCTGGCAACTTTCAAAAAATATTTTTCAAAGTTCAAAATTATTAAAAATTACACGCGGTCCACAATTACAAAAGAAATACTCAATTCAAACCAGTGTTTGTTGAAATGAAATCCGTCAGTCAGTAAAAAGGTAAGTAGGTCTATGCCGAAATGTGGCTTGAATGCCTAACATTTCACGATACAGTGGATCATTATTGTTAGTGTTATGATACACTGGTCCAGTCCACCTTACATGCGACCTTATTTGGCCCTTTCTTGTGTTGCGAGCAAGAGCGGCGGAAGCATATTGGTTGCTCAGGCAGAAGGATCCAAACCAGCCAGTACTACCATAGTGTTCCGAATATGGCACCTCTAGACGCATGGAAATTGCATTTTCATAGTGACTTGTGTTTACAACAAAAGTTCAAATTTTAACTGTATTAAACTCCTAGGTTTTCAAAATTGGGGGAAAATATATGCTAACATTTTTCAAGTATCGCACTCAAAATACCATATTTTTTAACAAAAACAAAAAAGCTATATATAAACCATGCAGTGATTATATTAAGATAATAATACCATATAAGTCCACAGGGACTGCTCAGATCTACAGTATGTGACTTGGCATCGTGAAATTAAAAATATACATAGCATGGCTACCACGCAGGAAAGAAAATTAATTTGTACTGTACAAAAAAATAGACTCTGTTTATTGAGTTAGTTATAATAGGCTATAATTTATGAGCATTGGCTCTGCATAGCAAAGTAATTATTGTTCAGTATCGAATTTAAAATTTAAATAAACATTTGCAATTCAATAAATATCATGTTTAGTTGACGTCAATCTAAAACATTGTTACAACTCTTTTCTGATCCCACACATACGACTACGAATTACGAAATTTAACGATAACAGCCTCATAATAATTTAAGACTCTTTAATAAGTGACACCCCTGCCAATAATGGCCAGGGTGTCACATGCGAACCATTCCCATCTCTCCCCAACTACGTAAATCCTGCCTTAGTAATGTACATAGGTAGTAAATTTGGTGCTTTTCAGGTTGAATTCCCAAAGCTCCTGACTCATACCGGCAGCCATGGGGAATTTATGTTGTTAATTGCACTGCAGCGTAGCACAGCTGTGGTGAAGTTGATAGAACACCGAGAGACAATTTCCAGCTCTTTTCCCAACGCGGTAAATTGTGGTTTTGTGTGAAGCGCATATGAGCTACAGTTTTCATTATACTTAAAAATGTGTAACAACTGCTGCTGCTGCTGCTTTATAGGCTTATTAATATTGCAATAATAATTATTGCTTTGCTGATTATTTTACTATACTATTGTTATTTATTAAAATTACTATTGTTAATTATTATTATTAGTAGTAGTAATATGTTATTGTTAAACTATTATTATTTCTATTGTTACTATTGTTATTATTAATTTGTTATTATTTTATAGGCATATTGATATTATTGCAATAGTAATTATTGCTTTTGCTGTTTATTTTACTATACTATTGTTATTAGTAGTAGTATTTTTATTAAACTATTATTATTTCTATTGTTACTATTGTTATTATTTATTAATGCTATTATTATTGTGATTGTTAATAATAATAATTATAATAATATTTTTATTATTATTATTATTATTATTGTTATTATTATTATTATTATTATATATTTTAAGGTGCACATGGGTCATGTTGTACTAGTGACCAACGTTGAGATACTACAGAACGCGCATGCAAATACACGTTAGGCTAGCACTCGTTAAAGTCTGTATGTTCACGTAGTACTTAATGAGAATTTTTTTTTTTCGTGTTTCTTTAGGCTCTGAAGAAACCACATGAAACGAACCTTCCACTGGTTTATAGACATGCACACGTGATCGACGAAGAGCTACCGACTATGGTACGCATGTTCCTTAGTGACGCCAATTTTCCAGCATTTGTTGGACAAGTCGAAAAAGAATTGAACGCTATAATGCAGTGATATAATATGCAACATTTTTTTTATATTTGTATCAGATGCTTAATAAGCAGCTTACTAATAAACATTCTTGTCACAAAATAGTCAAAGTGCCTTGCACTACTTTACTCACAATACTGTATTATATTGTATGTTTTTAACTAGTATTTTATACAGTGATATATATATATACATATATATATATATGTATATATATATGTATATGTATATAGAAATAAAACAATAGCAGATGAACTTGGTTACTTCAAATCTTTAATATATATACTGTCTCTTATACACATCTAGATGTGTATAAGAGACAGTATTGTTAGTGTTATGATACACTGACCTTACACTGTTTCCTCATTAGCATATCACCGTACCAACCGCTACTGTTTACAATCATGCTCATTTACATATAGGCCTAGCCAGATTTGAGGTAACACTAAGGTCTACGAGCTCATGAGGGCGTAACACTCCCCCTATTCCAAAATAGTTTGCAATGCAATGAAAGCTTTAAACATTAACGAGATAACAGCAACTGACTTTGCCGTAACTAAGAACTGCCTTTGAGTCGCCTAAATGGCAAAGGTTACAAGTAATGGTATTAAATACGCATTTTCTGTTCACACCGTTTCCTGTGTTCAAATCTTTTTACAGGTTTCTAGATATTGTATCTGCAATCACATTATCAACACCTATAATATGTTTTATTTCTAGGTTATACCTTTGGAGAAACAGACTCCACCTTAGCAACCTCTGGTTTTTATTTTTCATCTTTTGCAAAAACACAAGGGGGTTGTGATCAGTAAAAACTTCAATTGGGGTGATCGTTGGGTATAAATATACATCAAATTGTTGTAAGGACATAAGGAGAGCTAATGTGTCTCATTAAATTTTCTTGAAAAGTAACAAACAGGGTGATCAACCCCACCTTGTTCCTGCATCAACACAGCCCCAATTCCTATGTCACTTGCATCAACAGCAAGCTTGAAGCGCTTTTCAAAGTTTGGCGCCAACAAAACGGGTGAATTTTTGAAACGATTTCTGGCATTCTGATGACCAGCAAAATTTTGTACCTTTCTTTAACAGGTCAGTCAAAGGGTTCGCTACTTCCGAAAAGTTTTGGCAAAACTTCCTATAAAAACCAGCCATGCCCAGAAATCTCATAACACCCCTTTTATTCGTTGGTGTCGCCATTCTTACTATCGCTTCAACCTTTGCCTGTGTGGGTTTAACTATTCCTTGGCCTATTTCATGTCCAAGATAAGTTACGTGTGCTTTACAAAAGTCACCTTTACTTAGATTCACTGTAATCTGCATGACAGAACATTTATCAAAGAAAGCACGAATTTTAGCAATATGATCGTTCCAATCACCACTTTCAATAATGATATCATCTATATATGCCCAACACCCAGGTATGGACGACACAACCTCATTCATCATCCTTTGGAAGGTCGCATTCTTTACCCCAAAGGACATCACTTTATAACGGTACAAACCGTCAGGCGTTACAAAAGAACATATATCTTTGGCCCTCTCTGACAGGGGAACCTGCCAGTAGCCTTTTAGCAAGTCAAATTTTGTTATGTACTTAGCAGAACCAATACGGTCAATACAATCATCGATTCGTGGAATCGGTAAACAATCAGTTTTAGTGACAGAGTTCACCTTTCTGAAATCAGTACAAAATCGGAACGTACCATCTGGCTTGGGCACCAACAAACAAGGGGAGCACCAATTACTTACTATGCTCTATAATGTTATTCTCGAACATGTAGTCAGTCTCCCTTCTCATTTGCTTTAGTTTTAACGGATTTATCCTGTATGGTGGTAGTTTTACGGAGGTTGCATTTCCCACATCAACATCATGCTCTACACCCCTACATACATTTGGTACATCAGAAAATAAATTATCGAACTCGACAATGAGTGCATGTAATTCAGTTCTCTTCTCTAGAGTCAAGTGGTTAAGTTTTGTATCAAGGTTAGCGAGGATCTCTGAGTTTTTTAGACTAATTTGAGGTCCTCCGACCTCACCCCCCGTGGGAAAGTGTGTGTCACATTCACTGTGATTGGACACCGCTGCTACAGAAGCAACTGTCTTCACTGCTGCCCCTTGATTAACCTCATCACTTGTCTCTCGCTTGTGATAACGTTTCAACAAATTGACATGGCAGAGTTGTTTACTTTTCCTGCGATCAGGTGTAATTACAACATAGTTAAGGTCATTAACCTTTCTCTCAATTTTATATGGAGTGGTGACCCTAATATAGGCAAAAGAAAAAGAACATCATCATCGTCAACATTAAACATTCGTGATTTGGCAGTTTTGTCATAGTACATTTTCATGCTATCCTGTGCATGTTCTAAGTTGGTTCTTGCCATATCAAGAGCATTATGCAGCCTCGTTTTAACGTTCAGTACATAATCTAACATATTGACTGATGTTGCATCACCACCTAACCACTTCTTCAGAAGTTTAAGGGGTCCTCGAACAGTATGACCGTAAACCAAATCGAACGCTTGATACGATTTGATGAACGCTCAACTCATGCATAAGTTGTTGAAAAACTTTAGAGATGAAATTCGACCCTTGGTCAGACTGAATGTATGCCGGAAATCCCACTAACGTAAACAATTTAATAAGAGCCTTTAAAACTGAACGAGCAGTTATATTCCTCAAGGGAATGGCTTCTGGAAATCGGGTTGAGGCGCATAATACGGTTAGCAAATACTGATTTCCAGATCTCGTCTTTGGTAAGGGACCGACACAGTCCACAATCACGCGATGAAATGGCTCTTCGAAAGCCGGAATGGGATTTAATGGAGCCTTGGGAATCGTCTAATTTGGCTTTCCAGAGACCTGACACGTATGGCATGTTTTACAGTATTGAACAACATCTTGTCTCATTTTCGGCCAATAAAAATGTGGTCATGTGCTAAAAATAATACTCGCCGTCTATGGCAAGTCGGAACAACAATCTGGTAAACAACACACCAGTCTTCAGCCGCGGGGACATTGGGTGGCCGCCATTTTCGCATCAACACCCCTGGTTTGATAAAGAAACAGATAGGGACAGTCGCAATTTCATTTTGATCATGGGCCCCAAAGAGAGATCGAAGACCCTGATCCTCTTCCTGTGCCCGAAAAAATTTCTCCTCTATCAAGAGATAAATTTAATGATTCTGAATCATTATTGTCAATGGGTGAATACCTATCCAATTTGGTATCGTCAAGAGCCGAAAATGTATTTGATAAATCAATATCAGTCGTATGTGAATTCATAGACCGTGTTACAGCACAGGCAGGAAAAATATTAGGAAACTCTTCATTGAGTTGCTCTGTGCTAATTACAGCTTGTGGCACATTGGTAACACAAGGTTCTGGTACTACTTTATTACCAGATAAATCATTGCCCAATAATAGGGACACACCTCCGACAGGCAGAGAAGGCATTACACCAACCAAAACTGACCCCGTTACCAAGGCAGACTGTAAATTAATTCTGTGGAGTGGGACACTAGTAGAGCCACATTCTACTCCACTTATAAGGACATTGGCTCCCGTGGACGACTTCTCAGAGAGTGGAAGAATACCAGCTAATAATAGGCTCTGGGATGCACCGGTATCGCGTAGAATTTTTACGGGCTGTAAACATGTATCACCTAGCGAAATATACCCATCAGTAACAAAAGGTTGATAATGGTCATCAATTAGAGGTAGCATCAATACGCCCTTCACTATAAAATATAGAATTAGGTGGTTTACAATGTTGCAAAGAATCGGTTGCTACTAGGCCAGTTGGTGAAGCAACAGCAGTTTTGTTCTTTAATTTATAGCAATCTGAAATGATATGACCTGATTTCTTACAATATGCACATGACAATTTTGACCTACCGAACCTCGACTTCCTAATATCAGATTGCGTAGTGTGGAAGTTACGTGTAGATGGATGAACATATAGGATAGGTACACAACATTTAAATTCTTCAATCAAGAAGATTAAGAGCATTATAGTTAGAGCATTATAGTTAGACTTAGTGTCTTCTGAACTACACCACCTATCAAACAAGATTTCTTTTTCACGTGAGAATTCCACATAGGTTTCCTTATCCAACTTCTTATACTCTCAAAACTTTTGTCGGTATGCTTCGGGTACAAGCTCGTAACCTTTCAGTATCATAGCTTTAACCTTCTTATAATCAGCACTATCATTGACTGAAAACGCTTTCCCTTTCAACACACTTTGTAGCAAAATTGACCAGTGTTGAGTTGGCCACTTTAGGTTTTCAGCTACTTTTTCAAACTGTTGGAAATATTTATCGACATCCTTCTCCTGAAACGGTGGAATCAAACGAATAACTCGGCTGGAGTCAAACTGACTGTGCGTGGCGGACGTCGATATGCTCTGTAATTCCAACTCCTTCATTTGTACTGCAGCTTTCAATTTATCACGTTCAAGTTTTCCTCGTTCTTGCTCCAGCTTAAGTTGAAGTTCCAATTTTCTTATTTCAGGAGATACGTCTGGGAGTACCTCAGGTAAGTATGTCATAAATATATCCACTAAATGCTCAACAAGAAGCCTTTTGATCTCGGCTTTCCTTATCGCCGATCGTACTTCCAAATTATAATGCTGTTCTACTTCAAAAAGATTACTCTTAGTAAGCTTATTCAAAAAATCCTCAGACGGCTCCTCCAACGTGCAGTAAAACAACGAGTCACAATCAAGATGGTAGTCTCAAGCACGAAGCAGTTATGCAGTAACTTAAGGCCGGACGAGCCCAACTTATGTTACGGTCACGAACACAAACAAACTGGAGCCTTGGCTAATTGCAAACAGAACTCGGTTTATTTCCAATAAACAACTTCACTACACCATGCACCGGTCAACAAATACACAGACCATGCAATTGCCCACCTTCTGATAGCACATGAGCAACAAAAACCACTAAAGCTGCATGCTACTTGGTTTTTACACTTGGACATCACGTCCATTCGGCGTCCATTCTACCTTACACTGTTTCCTCATTAGCATATCACCGTACCAACCGCTACTGTATTGCTGAGTAGCAATCTTCAGGAGTGAGTGAATAGGAAGATAATGGAGGTATATATATGAGTTTCAGCAGGTGTATATGATATTGTGTTACGTATTCTTGAGTAGGAATTTGTTTCTGTGTCTGAATTTTGAAAGCAGCTCTGTTCTTTTGTTTAAAGTTGATGGTTTGAATAAATTATGTGAAATTTCTCTGTAAGGCGTAGATTGCAGCGTTTTGTTTGTGTACTGTATGGCGTAGGTTTGTCAATTACGGACCATTTAATGTTGAATTGGGTGTTGCTTTCTTTCACCCATGATATATTGCTTATGCTCTAGAATCATGAGAAAACACAATTTAACAGTACAAGATCTTACACTTAAGCTCTATTTCTATATAAGCGCCAACACACTGAAGCCTAAAAAAAACAAAAACAAAAAACATATCAACTTATCTACTCTATGCTTAGCCATTAGAACATCTTAGACTATTAATACGCAGCACTAGAAGATGCTTAGCAATTCCCCCATTGAATGGTTGGTTCATTTGAAATCTAAACAAAAATCGAGTCTGGGCCTAGATCAGGTGTATTCCAGGGTCATCGCCTTCGGGCCCCTCCCAATGATTCATCCTAGCCCGGGACTACAAAACCATACCGCGTGCCACCCCCTTTAATCTGTCACTGGATATATTATGTGTCCTACATTCGATGCCAGAAACACATTATGCTGTTTTATGTATCAAAAAAACTTTTTTGGGTCAGGGTGTTGGATCGAGGACTCAATGTTTAGTGCCCCATGCGGCCCGCCGCAATAGAGCGCATAGGTGTTACGGCACTGATTATAGATCATAGGCCTACTTTAATTGATCCCTGTTGTAATATTAATAATAATTATTATTATATTCTGATGGGATATATATTTATCAAGAGATCTTATACGATGGTCATATTTTTGGGGAAAAGTGATAATATTATTGATATTGTTATAGGAATAATGGTGGTAAAAATGGTAATGATTTTGATAATGATGATGATAATGACCAAGGATTGATCTTTTTCATCATTTTACCAGTGTCCGAGAATACAAGGGAAACCCCATTACTGCGTTTTTCGAAAGTGTTCATTACTCTATTACTAAATATCCTGTTTATACAATGCAGTCACTTCTCGTCAAATGTTTACTGATAAGAATCAGTGGTGCATCGAAGTACACTATAGTAACTCTAAACATTGAAAATCACTGAGGCATCATACATGGTTAGTCATTATCATTTATTTATAGATTACAGAGTTAAGTCGCTAAACGTGCATTCTTACAGTATACAGTACTGTATTTATTTGATAGGTTTTCCAATTATAATGCACCTCTGTATAAAACTAAATGGGATAATTATATGATGAAAGAGGTAGGCGCTGAAAAATGTGTTGATAAAGTTAAAAACTTTAGGCCTAATAATAAAGATAAAAACAGGCCTAATAATAATAAAAACAATAGGCATAATAATAATAATAAATATAACACATTTTATATCGCCTATTTAAAGCAAAAATAAAAATAATGATAGTAATAATGAAAAAAGTAGTAGTAATATTAATAATAATAATATAATAATAATAATAATAATAATAATAATAATAATAATAAATATATTTATATCAGAGTGCCACTGATATAAATGTGAAGTTCTAAATAAAAAAATGAATAAATATAGTTATAGTTATAATTATAATTATGCGATCCCAGTCATTGGAACAATGTCTATGGATCGCATAAGGCAAGAGTTTTGAGTGAGTGGAGGTACCTGGGGTCGTAAACCTTTCTTGTGGAATGTGTACCCTGTTCCCCACGACTTTTCCATATTACTCAAATAAAAAACGTAGGCCTATTTATAAATTATATTCATACATATAACAATTGCCGCTACATAATCATGACTCAACTTCGTACAGTTTTACAAATTCAAGAAACAATGACTATGATTTAAAAATTGATGTTTCCTTTTATGGCAACAGGTGCTAGTGTATTATTTGGAACTTGATTTACCTAGAACAGTATTGTATTCAGAATCCGGTCACTGTGAAGTCAACAAACGTAATAAGTTATTTCTACTCCAGTTAATATTAATCGGAAATGTGTTTTCTGCCTAACCGGTCATGTGTGTAATGGTCTGTCTATAAATAAAGTGCCCCTCCGTTTATTCGGCATTTCGATTTGAAACAGAAGCGATCATAACGACTATCGAAAAAAGCCATCAAGTGATACTGCAAGAAAAAATATCAAAGGAAAACATCTCTGTTATATTTTTTAATCTGAACGTATTACTATTAGTTATAACGTTATCAATCATGAGCTACACTTATGCCAGTTGTTTATTCGTGTTGCTGGCTTTAGCCGGTACAATTAACGCCGCCCCGTTAACAAACCAAATTCAACAGGCCGAGCACTATCTCCAAGTGTGCGGATACCTGGCAAAAGTCGCAGAAGAGGATCAACATTTCAACGATGATGCTATCAAACAGGCTCTCCTTAACTTTCAAGAGTATGCTGGGCTTGATCCCGCAAAAGGTACCGGTAAGTCAGCTAGATTTTCGAATAGGCATATAAATAGGTAGTTAATTAAATCAATCAATCAGTTAATCAATCAATCAACAAATTACTTAGTCACGTAATCCATTAAATTTTCTTCATAGTCGCAAGTACATTAAAATTTCATTTCATTATTTCCCAATTCATTTCAATTTTTTGTATATTTTCTGCATTAATAGGTAGTCGGGTAGGAACAGGGGGTTCCCATGCACCCCCAGGATATATTTTTTAACCAACATTTTTGTAATCCTCAAAGTGTCTCATAAGAGAAATTTGATGTTCCCATCGAAAAAAAAATGTCCCATGGGGTTGTTTGGTGGCCATTTTGTCGGCCATCTTGGATTTTTAACGAAACTCATTAATTGTTATAATTAATTGACTAAACATCTTATAAAATCAAATGAACCTCTACGTGTATATAGTAAGCAGTTTTTATGTACTTAATACAAAAAAATTGACTTCACAATACATTTGGCGGCAATATTGGCGGCCATATTGGATTTTCAATGAAAATCATTAATTTGTCTATTTTAATAACTAAAAATCATATTAAATCAAGTAAACCTTTAAATTTATATTGCAAGTAGTGTTTATGTTCCAAATACAAAACACTGACTTCCCAAAACATTTGGCGGCCATATCGGCAGCCATTATGGTGGCCATCTTGGATTTTCAATGAAAATTATTAATTTAAATAATTTATTAACTAAAAATCATATAAAATCAAGTGAACCTCTAAATGTATATAGTAAGCAGTGTTTAAGTTCTCAATACAAAACCTTGACTTCCTAATTCATTTGGCCGCCATTTTTGTGGCCATTTTGGTTTTTAAAAAAAATCATTAATTCAAACTAAAATTACATAAAATCAAATGTATACAGTAAGCAGTGTTTTGTATTCTAAATACAAAACATCTTAGCAATACGTTTGGCGGCCATATTGGTGGCCACTTTGAATGTTCAATAAAAATTGATTGTATAACATTTGACCTATATATCATACAAAAAATAAATAGCCAATGTTTTTAGAGTAATGCTGTCATTAGGAATTGATTGAGAGTGCAGTGCACTACACTCTCCCCAACTAACTTTGAACTACAAATTTGAACTACAAATTTGAACGGTCTGGGCCGTATCTATTCGGGAGGATCTTCGCAATAAGGGTTTTTCTGAGCTGGTAGGACTATTTGACCTTTGTCAACCAGGTTTACTCACTCTGGGGTTTTCTACCACCCTCTTAATTACACATCCATTTACATGCTTAATTAACCCACCTCTATTGAGTTTTACTTCAACATGTTCACCCACGTCAAATTTTCTCAACTGCTCTACCTTGCTGGCAGTGACCACTTGTTTCATATGCCTTAGGGTTTAATAAGACAAACCTTATTCTGGGGGGCATGCCTAAACGACTTATCATAAGATGATTCCCCTGTCATAGTCTGCAGTGTGACTCCATATGACAACAGAAAGTTAAGAAGTCTAAACATTAAAAGAGACCCTCTCTCCTCCTCCTCCTCCCTGTAACCTTTCAATCAGGTACTTCTTTAGTGCTTTCTTACAAATTTGAACGCTGCACCATTAGATGCTGGATAATATGGAGCAAAAAATGTATGCTGAATACCATTTCGAGTACTGTAAGAAATAATTAAAACTCTTCTGATCGGAATTGTGGTCCATTATCTGAAAGAATCGGTATGCCGAACATAGCAAACCAGTTCTTTAAAACATTTATGGTGTTATTACTATAAGTGTTATTTGGAATAACTGAACACACTACACGCTAAAGAAAGTGATAATATTTTTGGAAGAAAAGGTCATGGTCATGGAAATTTGATCTTTTACATCCGAGCATACAAGAAAATAATTGAATATCTAGTGATCGTCCAGCCTGTAATTGATTGTTTTTCTTCTTCCTCCTCATTATAACTTAACAGTAGTTCGGTAAAGGTGGAAGGATAGGTCGACCCGACCACCCTTTTCCACCATCACTAGGCTTGGGGCATTAGAATATTTATATTCATTTGAAGTTAGTTCGGACATAGGTTGTCTCTGCTTGGAAATTAGGGGGAGGCCTTCTATGCAGCCACCATCCTCATAAGTTTTGAGAACATACTCCTGTCAAATCTCCATGGATGGTGGTTTCCTATGACTGAATAATTTGTGAATGGCTGGTTGAAAGGGGTAAAATAGTTGAGTTTTGGAAAGACTTTTTCACCAGTACTTGAGACAAAACCACCAAATCCTGGAACAATTTATTTCTCTACACTCACCACTGCACGTGCCAGTAACAAGATATGATACTCTCGGGTGCACTCTACAATTTGATTCAGAATTCAGAATGAATGCAGCTCCCAACATGACCATATATAAACTGATGCCAGGATCTTGGCCATATCCACTCCCATGAGTACATCTTGCTTCATGCGTAGATATTTAGCGTCCGGAGCATTTTATCATAGTTACTGGCTCCAAACTTGGGTTTCACCTCCTGTACCATGATTCCAGCACTGTTCAACACTTTTGAACCATGAATGAATGAATGTCATAATTTTAAACAGATTCATTATCAGCTCTTGACGATGTATCCACTTCCCTCACTCCTCAGCTCAACAGCATATTTCATCTTGAATGGGACAATCTGAACAAAATTATGACATATATTCATGGTTCAAACTGTGTTGAACAATGCTGGTGGAATCAAGGTACAAGAGGTTAAACCCGGGTTTGAGCTCTGGACGCTTCTTGTCTACAAACGAAGCAAAATGTGCTCCTTGAAAGGGGATATGATCGTGCCAGGGTCACGATCATATCCCCTTGAAAGAGGAAATGATCGTGACCCTGGCACCAGATCAGGTTGTGCTGGGCACAAATTTTCTGAGGGAGCTGTATTGAATCTTCCCACACTGAACAGTGTAACAAAGTGCATTCGAGAGTATCATGTCTGGTTACTTGCATATTGGTAGCAGCAAAGAGAAATAACTTGTTCCAGGATTTGGTGTCATTAAGGATCTATGGAAGCAGTGAGAGGATGCCACCATGGAGATTGGTCAGAAGTGTGTTCTCAATACTTTTAAACTTTGTGGCTGCAATAAAACACCCACAACTTATATCCCAACTTTCAACCTGTGAACCATCGGCTTGGTTACTTCATATTCTTTTGCAACAAGCCTTGTGATCTTTCTTAGATTATTATATACAACTCTGGTAAATTTTATGATGATCCGTTTTCTGTGATCTTACTAAATGGCAGACAAACAACAGTGAATGCATAACCTCCATATTAATGTATGTGTAGAGCGGGCCCTTCATTAATTAGAGTCATATTAAAGAATTACATGATTTTATAAGGGATTTTCTTGAAAAAACATCCACTAAAAAGACTCATTGGATGTAACGGCATGTGTAGTACAATAATAAAATTTATTGTGAAACTAAACATTGCATCTGACTGGTGTTCATTGGTGTGGATAGCATTTGTGAACAGGGAGCTTGAATCACATTGGCCAGAGAAAATCATGGTCATTGAGTTTGACCATTAGTTTTTAGTTTGTACCGTGGTTCGACATAATTATTTTTTTTAAATATATATACCATACATTAGGCCTATACCATTAAAAAGTGCTTTTTCACCAGGATCAGAGCGTTTTGTATTAAATTTTGAGTGTAAATAAAGTGAACTTCTCATATTTTTGTAATTTCAATGTATCAAACCTGCTTAAATGATACGTCATGGACATCAATTAACTCCCAATGACAACATTACTCTGAAAAAATGGTTATTTTTTTTGTTTGTATAATGTTATACGGATAATCAATTTTCATTTAAAAGCCAATTATGGCCGCTAATGTGGCCGCCAATATAGCTACCAAAATGGCTAGGCCACCAAATGTAGTGCAAAGTCAATGTTTTGTATTGAGAAAATAAAAATTGTTTATACCATAGGCCTATATATTTAGAGGTTCATTTGATTTTATATTATTTTTAGTTAATAAATTATACAAAAATAATGATTTCCATTGACAATCCAATATGGCCGCCAATATGGCGCCAAATGTATTGAGAAGTCAATTTTTTGTATTGAGAACATAAACACTGCTTACTACATACGTTTTGAGGTTCATTTGATTTTATATGATTTTTAGTTAATAAGTTATGCAAATAATTGATTTTCATTCAAAATCCAAGAAGGCCGCAATATGGCCGCCAAATGTAAATGCGAGGTCAATGTTTTGTATTAAGAACATAGACACAGCTTACTATATACATTTAGGGGTTAATTTGATTTTATATGATTTTCAATTAATAAATTAATGAAATAATTGATTTTCATTCAAAATCCAAGATGGCCGCCAAATGGCCACCAAACGACCTCATAGTACAATTTTTTTCGATGGGAACATCAAAATTCGTTCATGAGATACTTTGAGGATTACAAAAATGTTACTTAAAAAATATATCCTGGGGGTTCATTGGAATCCTCATTCCTACTAGACTAACGCTACCATCACCCAATTCATTTACGATGTCATTTTTAACTCGCAGAAGAGCAGTTTCAGTGCTATGGGCCGACTGGTACACATAACTGAAATCCTTCAGAAAGGTTGAGAAAATATAGTTCATAAAACATGAATCAGCAACATAATATTTGGAGTACAAGAACAATTTTATTGAAAAACGTTCGATTGATAATTATAGATCGGTGATACTTCTTTGAACAGTTATTGCTAAATCTTGATAATTCCAATAACGAATACGACCATACTTTTATGTATGGTAAGTCATACAGTAACATATACTTGAATGCTCAAATTGACCCAGAAGAGGTAGAGTATGCGCACTAATTAAACCGGGGAAGAGAACGGGGATTGATTGCCTTCATGGATGTACTCACTCCGTTTTAACACGTTATTTAAAAGAAAACATTTCCGTATTTCTGACTGCATATACTAAAGAAAATGTTAATTCGATCTAAACAATATCGCTCTATCACATTTTTCATATGTATGCAAACTTTTTACGTCAATACTATTACTAAAGTAAATAATTAATCTACATCTTTTTGATGTAAGCCTACTTCCAAAATAACTGGCTGGAGGCCGAACAGGCCACAGCACGTTTGAACATATTGAATCTCGCCTATAACGTTAGATTTTAACTTAGTACATAAAGGTAAAGTATTTACTAAAAACCAAAGATAGATTGCATGGCACTGTTGTCAATAGGTTTGATAGTAATAAAGAAAAACTGTGATAAAAAAAAACACAGTAGAAATTAAGGGAAAATTTCTAAAGGTTTTTTTTTTACTAGGGGTAACAAAGAGGGAGCTCGACCTCCTCTCTTTCCCTACAGCTGCTAAAACAATTACTAGACCTAGCCAAGTGTAAAACCATTAAGAATGTCTAAAAATTTGAAGCCTCAATGAGATATTCCCCCTCAATGAAAAGCATCGAAGAATTCATGAATGTACGTTACGTTCTCAGGCCATATTTACGGCGGGGGGGGGGGATCATCTGTGACACCGATATTATTGCCATCTGGCTCAATCGTTAATATCTGGTAGTCGTATGTGTAGGATCAGAAAACTTCAATTATTGATTACCAAATATAATATTTATTGTATCGAAGCACGTGAATTTTAATATTTAAATATTGAACAATAATTATTTCAATATACTGATATTGAACTGAAAATATTTATACAGTAATTCTAAGCATTATTATAACCAACTCAATATCAGAGTCTAGGTTAGAGTTTTCAATTAAAATTAATTTTCTTCACTGTGTGGTACCGTAAGTCATTCGTTAATTTTTATATTTTCTCACGACCAAAATCAAACACAGTAGGTCCCGGGTATTCAACCTTTTTAAGCTCGTTGCCAGTTTTAAACTGTTGAAACCAGTGGCGGGCCGTAATTGTGTACTATCATATGACAACGCCACCAATTCCATTAGTATTCCTAATAGCAGGTCCTATTAAAATGTTCCCTTTGTTTTTCAACATCATGATAGGCCTTGTTTTAAAAAAATGAGGGAATACAGAAGCATATATGGGGGAAGTGTGGGGAGAATAGAAAAAAAACTTGCACCCCAGGTTCTTCTCCGTACCACTAGATCCAAGCAGAGAAATCGACTCAAGTACTAAGTAGGCTAATTAAAAACAGTGCCATTGTGGAAATTTCCCGACGAAGAGTCCAATATCCCTTAAAATGGCCCACATTAAATTTTTAAAATAGACACCTCTGGATGCCCGGAAATGGTACTCTTGGACTATTAAAATATGTTTTAAACTGAGTGTTTTCAGCAGATAGACATGCCTCGAGCCTGCTCTTCGGATCGGCCGTTGGAGTTGACGTCATATTAACGCCCTCACTTAATCCTTTATCCCTATCAGTCCCCTCTTCATGTCAATACTACAGTGTGGTAAGTGGTACAAACTTACCACACCAAAATGCGTACGTATCGGACATGAGAATTCCAATTCAAATCGAGGTTTTAATTTCAAACAACTGTTAATTAACATTACTTCTTTTCTTGTAAAGGAATTTTGACAGAAGAAACGTTGAAACAAATGGAAGAATCACCTTGCAGAGATGCTGAAACCAATCGTAAGAGACGCTCGATTCCTGTTATACATGGATGGGATTCCCACGTGGTCACGTGGGACATAACCAGTTATTCCAAATGGCTTTCAAAAAGTGAGGTTGATAAAACAGCCGAAGAAGCCTTGAAGGTAAGCATATACTCAAATATTGAGTTGGGGAAAGGCTGACGATAAAAACATACAGATTTTATTTATTTCATTTTTAAGCTCAATGCAAAGGATACGGCAATAAAAAAACTTAATCACTTTACAAAGTGATAATCCTTCATAAAGCTCTGTTCAGGCTATCAAAAAGTGACATGCCTAAATATGGTCACGATAATCGTATAGACACTACTAAACTAAACTTGACTTCAAGCAAATCGCTGAGTTCCCAACAAGAGACAATGCATTTCTAGATAGAGCTTTATTAATCATCCTTTTTCACAGAGACCGCACCAATTGCCAATATCGGGAAAAGTGATCACAAATCAATTAATATTAATTCTTCCAAAATCCCATAGACTTACTAAGATTGTGAGACCGTTTAATGAATCTAATGTATTAGAATTTGGGAGATGGATTGCCCAATATAACTGGTGTCTTTATAATTATGTAGATCTAATTACTGAAGAATTTATTTCCCGACTTCGTAATGCATATGAATTACATTTTCCGGAGATAACCATTAAAAAGAATGAATCGGAAAAACCGTGGTTCAACAATAAATTACGGCAATTGGTGAGGAAATGTGACAGGCCTTTAAAAAGGGAAGAAATGTTGTTTGAAAAAAAACCTTTTATAAACACAATTGAACAGTTAAAGTGACACCAAGCGGACTTATGGCATCGTAGAATGAAGAATCTATATAATTTAGGAAAAAAGAAATAACAGACCAAAAGGTCCACTGATTAATCTCAGATAAGAAAGTATAATACATACTCCAAGTATTGAAATACACGCCATCGTGTTGGGATTCAATATTTCGACATTAATTATGTCATCATCAGGAATGAAAGAAATAACAGGTTACCCTAAATAAAAGGGATAAGTGTGGTTGAAGATCTCAATAATCATTTCGCCAGTGTATGTCAACGTTTAGAAGATATCTTTATTATAATTACCTACCTGGGTATCTGTCAGCTTCTAAAAGTGTCCCATTTACATAGGTTAAGTAACTAAGAAACTTTAGCACCTGGATCCTTGTAAAAGATGTCACCAGTGGCGGACCGTCAAAGCAAGCAAGGTATGCAGTGTATACTAATAAGAAAAAATAAAAACAAAAAAAAAAACAAATAAGAAAATATAGTAGTACAGTTTCTGCGTTTGATTTAGCATTTCTTAGCCACAATCTTCTATATAAACCTTAATTTTTTCGAGTGGATTGCTGTAGTTTATTGGAAAAGCAAAGTTTTTCAATGTTTGGCCTACTTTAGTATCTAGGATAAGTCACATTCTGACCTATCGCATCGTACTCTCAGCTGCTTAGAATTTCCGCATGGCTGGTTTTCAATATCAACCAATCACGTATTCAGTGAGTCAATGGAAGTTAGAGCATACCCTACAACACTTAAATTTGCTACTGTGACAACCGTGTGGTGGCGTCAAAATAGCCAATTTAACTCTGGAAAGGAAGCAATGCTTCCAAGAGTATGTGCGCATGCTTTTCTTCTCAATGATTAAAGTTTAAATAAATCTGCATGCATATAACCGGTATAGAAGAAACTTTGAATTATTATTATTTAAATTGAAATATGTTAAAATAGAGGAATAGGAATTATTTTGAAAGATACTACAACCATGGCGGTATTAAAAATATCATATCATTTGTATTTTGGCTAGCGCAATCTGATCCTCTATAGTAGTAGGCTTACAAACTTGTCCTACTAGCAGGCCCTAGCATCAGTGGCGTAGGAGTCTTGAAATGGAACAGGGAGCTGATGTGTTGGGAATTTAAAGTGGGGATCGGTGATTAGGTAAGGGGCTAACTCGCAAAATAATGTGATTTTAGGTGATTTTTAACTACTTGAGCGTGATTTGTGGGCGGTTATCAGGGGGAAGGGGCGTGCGCGACCCTCGCACATCCTAGATATTTCAATACATAGCATACCCTGCAATTTACCCTACGGTCCGCCATTGGATGTCACCCATCTGATGTACGTCCTGTTAGGCTTATTAGGAAATTTGCATGTGAATTGTCCCAACCGTTATGTATCATGATGAATACCGCCTACAGCAAGGAAAATTTCCTAGCTGCTGGAAAACCGCCACAATTGTCCCAATACCAAAGTGCAGAATTCGACCGATTTAATGAGATGCGGCCCATTTCTCGCACACCAATTTTTGCGAGTTTTTCAATTTTTTATAGGTGATTGGATAATGGAAGATATTTAATGTAATATTGATAACCAACAATTTGTCAATATGCGTGGATCTTTGACAGCCCATTATCTTATTGAAATGTTAGATTTTTTTTTTTTCATAGAAGTCTAGCTACTGTTAACCTGGTACTTATGCCAATCTCAGCAGCTTCCTTAAAGACAGAACTCATACTAAATTACATAATACACTCATCTTTAAACACGGGTACTTGTGGGATCCCTCAGGGTATAAAATTGGGTCCGATCCTCTTCATAGTAATAATTAATGACGCTTGTCTACAGGAAGCTGTAGATCTCCAACGGCGGCGGAACGCTTTTGAAAGTAGGGGAGGGGACATTTCATATGGTCCAGTATGCGAGCGAAGCGAGAACCTAGGCTGCGGCCAGGGAGCCCCAAAGGCCCCCGTGCGACCCCTGGAAGCTTCCGGTATTTAACGAAGTTTGGTGAATATTATTAGTTATTTTATATAGGCATAGGCCTATATCAAGCTACTGTACTGTAATACGACTTCAAATATTTTAATTTCCTGTGGCGGAACCAGAAATTCAAAATAGAGGGGAACCTGGAGGGGGTACTTTCACAGATGGAGGATCTGTATATCACCTCAGCCCCACTATAATGGTTGGGGCTAAGCTAAGAAAATTTGTGATTATGGCACCTCTAGATCGCCGGAAATTGCACTATTAGACTTAAAATTTGAATATAATTTTCTGTTCTTTTTACAAAAAGAAAGTTTGAACAATTTCGCCGGACCGATTTTAGCTTTAAAATTACCTGCCAAATGCAGTCCACAATTTAAATTTCATTTTAGTCCCAAACCTAGGCCAAGCACGGCCACCGAAAATGATGCATGCTGTGTGTCGACAAGGCCTAGGATAATAATATTTTCTCCATGGTTTGGTAAAACACGTCCACAAAAGCTTAATACGAATCATTCTGTAACTGCAAAAGATTTTTCAAGTGTAATCTAAAAAGCATAAATTACTTCCCTCTACTCCACGGGAGAAACAACCATACCTACGGGCAGCAGACGCGTTACAAGCGGACAGGCCGACGGATCAATTTTATCAAATGGGTACCAATTTTAGCGGCTAAAATCAACCGGGTGGACCAAGTTTTAGAGGCCAAAATAGTCCAGCGGACCGACTTTGGCGGCCAAAATCTGTCCGCCGGACCGTTTTTGCCCCGGATCAATTTTGGCGTGACTCTCCAACTGTTACGGATCCAGGAAGTCAAAATAGAGGGAACCCAGGAGGGGCTTGCGCAAATTGAGTGTTCACCCACCTCATCCCCACAAAGGTAAGGGTTGCGGTAAGAAAAAAATTATGATTATGGCACCACCTCTAGGTGGCCGGAAATAGCACTTTCAGACTAAGAGTTGAATAAAATTTTGACTGCTTTCTCCATTTTTTTTTTTCATAATTAAAAAAAATAGGAGGTTGGGGCCCGTGTTGACTGGGGTCCCCTTTATATAGCCTATCGTTTTGTTTCACAAATGACTAATTCCTAATGTCAAGCGAAAGATTTTTTTATTCGAAATATTTTTTTTTATTCAATGCAATTTTACAACTTATAACACATTAACTACAGAAACCGAAAAAGTCCACTGATTAATCTCAGATAAGATGGTAAAATACATACTCCAAGTATCGAAATGCACGCCACCGTGATTCAATATTTCGACATTAATTAGGCCTATGTTATCATCAGGAATCATCACTCCTGATGATGACATAATTAATGTGGAAATATTGAATCCCGACGCGATGGCGTGCATTTCGATACTTGGAGTATGTATTATACTATATTAACTACAGTGTACTGTAAATTCTGTAGTTTACCTTCAGAGAATTTATTTTAATAAATGGCCTTATTAAGTATCTTATTGTTTTTGTTAAATTAGATTAAATTTAAATGTGGTTATTTTACGCTAGTTTGAAGGTTTACTGTAAGTCAATCAGTTACACTTACAAAAACATCTTCATAAAGAAAACTAGAGCGTCGCTCCATGTCTGAACACCGAATCACGCAAGGTGGGCTATTCGATTATTTTTTCTTCATACTCGAGAATAAGTTTCAAGAAAACTTTACAGACGCGCGTATACAGACGTCAATCAACATCTACTGCTCGGGGTCAGTGCATTGTTCCGAAGGGTCTTTAGTCCGAAGGGCCTTTGGTCCGAAGGTCCGTTGGTCTGAAATTACTATATTTGAAATATGGACAAAAATATAAAACAAGAAAACACATGATAGCTAACAGTAACAATACAAAATTATTGATTGTTGCAAGATGCTCAACTCTGCAACATCCTATGAGCAAACAATTCACTTGACGCGAGGTATAATATAACCTTAATATTAGATTGAAGAGATAATTACACATTTGTAGGCTACTTTCAGGCAGGTTCAACGTCAACTAGCCAACGTTTCAGCGGCTTAGTTTGTTTTGTGATGTAAATTAGTTAGGCATAAATATGTTTGTAGAATCTTTATTTGTAACTATCCTTTTAAAACGTAATTAAGGTTTTTTTACATGTAGGGCCGAACTTTTGTTTATTGCACATTACAGTACTAGACAATTTGCGAAACCTGATTTTTGTCAATATATATACTGTCTCTTATACACATCTAGATGTGTATAAGAGACAGCCTTAGCATTTTAAAAACAATGGTCGGGTGATTCAACCTTCCCCACCGATATTGGTTGAATCACATAGAGGGGTAGGTTGAATCACTGTGTGAAAAGATAACAAATACAAATAAATTTCTAATAATACAATCACAGTGTTTATTTACAATACTAAAGAACATTCAGACATTTATATTCAACCAAAATTTCAATAAAAAATTGGAAAAATCCATTAATATATATATATATATTACAAAGTACATATAAAAATAGCAGCAAGGATATATTTTTTACTTTCTTTGTATTAATTGCATGTACCAGTATAATATAATAACTCTTATTTCATTTGATTTGTTACAGTTAGACAACACATTCATACATTAAAATGTTTATAAATACATATTTAATACTTGTAGTAAGAATGACTAAATATATACTGTATACCGGTTAAGGCTATGGCATATCACTCTTGTGCCTGATTAATTTATATTTAAACCGACCTCCTCAGTAGTTTTAAGTTTCCACTTCAGTCTGTCTCTTTAAAACATTTTAGACACACATCTAATAACAATATTCTTGCTCCCGGTTTCAAGGTGTTCCATCTGTCTATCTTTCTATCTTTCTGTTAGGGTTTCTCGGCAGGATCAGAAACCCTGATTGTAAACTGTACATTTTCTGAAATAGCAATAGCAATTATTTATATTATACATTGCAATTTTTACATTCAAAAAACTATGTAAGTAATTTAGTAAATAAATAAAAATACAAAAAAAAAGTTCTTCTATAGGTCTATCAACCTTTTATTAATTTAAAAAAAAAATCGTATTTTGATATAATAATGCTGCCTAGCCCGAGGGCAAGCACTAGCAATTATTTGTATGGAGGCTCTCTATTCTATAATAATTAGGCCCTAGGCCTATATATTATATATTTTATGGGGTGTGTGAAGAAATACATTTAATAAAATATATTATTATTGGTTAATAATAATTATACGCGAATTTGCATAAAATTACAACGATAATAACAAGACAACTGTCTAGTTTATATCTAGCCTGATAGAAGGTCTGGGCTCAGGCCTTGAGGTTATCTGTATGCTAATATATAGTCCTAGGCCTAGAGGGGTTGGTTGAATCACCTAATGCAACCATCCCCGACACCAATGACAGGGCTACATTTGGGTGTCAGTAAAAAATGAAACAACCTAGCCTAGAAGTATTTATCTCATAGTTTACCCTAATGTGTTAGTCTCAAAACTCAACTTTGGTTTTTGGTTAAACATGCACCATAAAGTAATAAAACGATAATGTTTAAAAACTCGAAAATTTACATACTGGCCTAAAAATGGTTTTTCAGGAAAATACCTCAACACAGGCCTAACCCAAATAAAATTAGGCACCTAAATCTACTCCTTTCAGGTCTGTTGAGAGAAAACTAGGCACAGCTTAGAAATTAAATTCTAAATGTAGACCCTATACGAGTTTGAAGTTAGCCCCAGAGGATTTGGTCTAATAACTCATCTTTAAAATAACAACAACAAATCTTCAAATTTCATGATAATTTTTTTTCAAGTATACAACCAATTGCCCTCTCATAAGTTCCAAAATTGAGTTTTTATTTAGAGCACATGGTATAACTCCTTATAATCATTTTCACAGCTTTAACCTTTACCTTTATATCTTAACATTTTATGATGTGATGTTTTAATGATGTGATTGTGATCAATAAGTTTTTTTTTTATTTTTAATCTGTGAACAAACAACTGTACATTTTACTATGTTTGACAATATAGATAGAATTGAATTGAATTGAATTGAATCTTGACTGGGGTAGTTAACTTGCTGTTTGATTGGAGAATGAGAATAAATCTAATATAATCTAATTTGGTCATTTATATAGCCCGTCTCTTATTTACAGATACGAAGCGCTGTAAGGTTTTCCCTGGTCTTTTTTTGCCATCTTGTCGTTGCCATCTTGCAGAGCAGGCAACCCCACCAGGTACCCATTTATAATCCCGGGTGCAAGAGTAGCAACGTAGATAAAATGCCTTGCTCAAGGACACAAGCGAAATGCACAGCGAGGGATTGAAACTCCAACCTCCAGTTTGAGAAACCACGTGACCTTTATAGATATGTCGTATTACATTTACCGTGATGAGCACATTTTTTACTCCGACTTTAGATGTGGTCTGATGCAGCTGACATAACTTTCGTACGAGTTCCAGGCGGAGAGGTTGACATAAGCATCGCATTTTTGACTGGGGCACATGGTGATATTGACTTCGGTGGCATAAACAAAGCGCTTGCGCACACGTATTATCCACCCAAATCAGGATCAGGGGGTGTATTGGAGGGAGATGTACACTTGGATGACGCCCGCCAGTGGACTGTGAAAAGCAGTACAGCAGGTATACACCTCGTCACCCAGTTTTAGCTCATCACTGATCACATTTATACGGTGGATCCTTTTCATCAATCAATCAATTACCAATCTTTCAATCAATCAATCAGTCATTCAATCAACAGTTATTCTATCAATAATCAAGCTGGCCTATATCAAGTTCTTTAACGTGTACATGTATGGGGTGCCATACGCAGCAAAAGTCCATGTTAAAATCAAAATGTAATTGCAAAATTCAATGTCTGATTTATCAAAATGTAGGCGTAAATTTCTCAAAATGTAGATCTAGGTTCCCAAAATGAAGTTCTAATTTTTCAAAACGTATATTCAAATTTTCCAAAATGTAGTTCTAATTTCTTTAAAATGTAATTCAAATTCAAAACGTAGGTCTAACTTGAGCAAACGCCTTCTCCAAATTCTATTCCAAAACGTAAATCAAAAACCAGCCTGATTTGAAATGCATTTTACAACAACACTAGAACATGGACTTTTGCTGCTTATGGCACAGACACACAAAATGTAAATAAAAACTAGTCAACCAAGCGTGACGTGGGCCTGTTCCATTAGTGATGGGGGAATCATTTTTCGCTGCAGTCCAATGCCGTGAACAACGCTTCCCAGCAGTGCGTCTGCTAATTTTTAACTAGGCCCTACTATAGTATAGGGCCTAGTCCAAGACCTTGTTGCAAATCCCAGCCCACATAAGCTGGGCTATAATGCCTAGCATAGGGCAGGGTCGTAGGCAGGATTTTCGATGGGGAGGTGCGTTTTGCAACCGAAGTGGACCTTACGATGGGCGATTGCCAAGAGGTCCCCTTGAGGGTGGGGCGAATCTTCTGGAAGCTCTGAAAAATTAGCATTTTGAGGGCCTTTTTTAATGGATTTCTAAAATCCCTAATTTGTAATATCCCGATTTAAATTTTCATTCATTTGAGTATTGTCTAGGGGAACCTAAAGTAAAAGCAGGAGAAATAGAGGGTGGGAGTAAAGGGAGGTACTTGAGACAGAAGGTCAATACTACCTCAGCCCCACCATGATTGGGGCTGAGGTAATATGATTATATGGCACCTCAAAATGACCGGAAATGGCACTCTCGGACAAACTTCAATTATGATTTTTCTTTTTTCTCCATTTTCTTTAATAATTTTAGGGGGCTCTTCTCCCTTGAATTCACCACTGTGAAATTGTTCATGTTCTTTACATCTGTAGGGCTACAGATGACATGGATCAATCTGTAATCACTGGAGCTGATAATTTCAGCACATTATTAAAAATTAACGGGTAAAAGAGCGGGCAAAAAAATGTAATGCATACTATAGCATTTCGCGATAATTAGGAACGATTTTAGTGAAATAATAGGTTTTAAAAGTAGACTTTCAGAAATTAGGTGGTCCAGGGGCAGAGGCCTGGAGAAGGTTTGTGAGAAAAGCGACAAAGTAGCATTTTGAGGGTCTTATAATAGATTTCTCAAACACATAATAAAATTTTCATTAATTTGGGTTTTTTTGGAACCTGAAAAAGTAACGTTATTATGTCCTGTACATCTGCATGCCTATAGATAACATTCTTCATATTATATAGATCAATCTACAGTCACCGGAGACGATCAATTTCTAACAAATTTCATGCCACATTATTAAAAATCAACGGTTAGATACGCTGGAAAATATATAATGCAATGCCTGTCTCTTATACACATCTACAGAAGGTCAATACTACCTCAGCCCCACCATGATTGGGGCTGAGGTAAGAAAA